TCGTCAAACAGTTCAATTTCTTTCATACCTTCATTCTAGAGGAATTATTCATTGTGACATAAAACCAGAAAATATAATGTTAAAAAAAGATAATTATGAAGTTGTAACAATTACTGACGACACTTGTGCAAATCCTGATATTGTAAAAGTTTGTTTAAAAATACTTTTTTTAAACAAAACAAAAATAATTATTTTTTTTAGTACCAACATACAAGAGTTCCAATACATGATGAAATAAAAGTGATAGATTTTGGGTTGGCTACTTTCTCTGAAAATAGATTGCATTTTAGTACTGTTGGAACTCGTCCATATTGTTCACCTGAAATGTTACTTCAAGATGGTTGGTCATATGCAACTGATCTTTGGAGTGTTGGTTGTACATTATTAGAGATGTATGTTGGCTATCAAATTTTTACAGGAAAAAGTGAAAGAGAACAATTATTAAAAATGGAAATGGTATTAGGAAAGTTTCCACAAATATTGTCTCATGACAGTCATTACTTTTCTAAATCAGGTTATGTCATTTGTGAAACACCTCATAATTTTGATCCATCACCACTTCATGTTTGTTATTTTAAATTATTTTTCTGTTTGTAATTAACTCATTAAATAGAGACTTATTGATCATTCAAGACATCCTCAATTTTTAGACTTTTGTACTCAACTGTTATGCCTTAATCCTGAAAAGAGAATAACTTGTACTAATGCATTAAATCATCCATTTTTAAATTATATTGATTGATAATTGGTTATTTTAAATTTTGGTTTTAAGATATGAACTGTGACTAATCTCCATTCGGACAACTTTTAAGTTAAGATTCTCTGAAGAAAGTTACTTTTTCTTTTTTTGAAATGACAATGAAAAATTAGTGAATTTTTAGTGAATCCATAAAATATACATTTGCAATAACAGATAATGATGTTCAGTTTTTAAGACATCTAGAAAAAAAAATAAAAACTATTTTAGTTTCTCTTTAAAATTATTTAAAAAGAGAGGAAAAAAAAAGAATGCAAAGATCGAATTTAAACAATCGTTTTGAATCTCTAACCGTGGCAATTATATCTATTCTTTACAGCTTTTTCAGATTTATCACCTCCATGAGCCATGGCCACGGAAAACTCTCTTCAAAAGAGAAGTTTATCAAATGGCGAAACTATCAAACATGCCAAGAAGCTATCTTTCTTGCTTGTTTAAATGAATTTTGTGATATTCAAATTCACAAACCAGCTAAAAAAGCATTAGTAACGATGCAATTTCTTCCTATTGAATCATTAATATTTTCAAATGAAGATAGTATTTCATTCTCAAAATTAATTCAAACACTTGTTAAACAACGGATGAACTATGAAGTATCAATAGGAGTAGTTCCTAAAACAGCAACAAGAAGAAGTGAAAATTATCGATTTATCCTTTCATTAAATATTCTTTGTGACTTACTTAGTGAATTCGGTTATGTACTCTTATCAAAAGCTCCTTCTCCAAGAAAACATCGGAAAAAGAAAGAGCCAA